GGGATGGACAACAGAAGAGTGGGTGAGGGGAGACGACGGACAGGGCAAGATAGGACAAAATAATAATTTACAAATTATCAAGGGTTCATGAGGGAGGGGGGAGCGAGGGGGAAAAATGAGCTGATGCCAGGGGCTTAGGTAGAGAGCAAATGTTTTGAGAATTATTTGGGCAATGAATGTACAAATGTGCTTTACACAATTGATGTATGTATGGATTGTGATGAGTTGTATGAGCCCCTAATAAAATGACTAAAGGGGAAAAAAAAGAGTGGTAATACAGCTGGCTTTGAGCCATCCTAAATTGGAAGGCTTCCATTGAGAGCCATGCCATCCAGGATTCGCCATGGCTCTGGCCAGGGGCCCCTCTAGGGGTAGTCCCAGGGATTCCACAAGCTGAGTTGGGAGTCAGGATAAGCAAGCTGTCAAAAGTAGCCGTCAAAAGGAGCTTACCGTAGATCCAAGCCAAACCAGTGAACTCTGCCAATCAGGTGATGCTGACTCAGTCAACAAAGGACAAAACAGCCTTCAGGCTGTGCTGACCCATCTGTTGCAGCACGTCAGCTCTGTGCTTATAGCATGAAACCAACAGGCAGCCCGTGAATGGATGTGGTTGTGTCCTCCTCAAATCTTTTATGTACAGACACTGAAATTGGAATTTCATCATGTAGCTTTTCATGTCACAAGACCAAATTCTAAAATTTTCCCCTCAAGCATCCAAAATGGTAAAAACCATTCAGAGCATGGGCTGTATGGAAACAGGTAGCATGGCCAGGTGTAGCCCTTGGGCTGTGGTTGCTGATTATGTAGGGATGCTATTATGTTGTCTAAAACCATTACATGTTTCTCAACTGAGAGCCTAGGCACTGGTACAGTAAAGGCAGGAAAAAGTATCTACTTCTATGGTGTCAAGGCTAGCCTCTGGCCTCATTTAGCCTCCTTCGCCCCCCACCCCCACCCACTATTGGCAATATATACATATATATGTACACCGTGAGACAATTTCAAATTTTAGATAAAAACACCGTCAGTAACAAAATTATGGATACTTATTTACAAATAAGACATTTCCTATCGCATGACAGCTTCCATGATAAATTAAAGTCAGCTTAAAGGAAGATGTGCAATTCTGCATAAAGGAGTAAGAACATTCAACCCATCCACGCCCTGGTAGCACTAAGTCCCACTGGGCATTTCTTTTGAGGTGCGGGCTTTTTGCTTCTCCACTCGTCTGTAAGCACACCAGAGGGTCTGCACAAAACGTGGCTCTTTTGGATTCGTTCACCAGTCTCAAGATCAAAGAACAAGCGGTGCGTGTCCTGATTTGGCAACTTGGCTTATGGAGAAATAACATGTACTTGCCGCCAGCACATGTTTCTATTGCTCCACATTTAAATGTTCACCCCTTGTCACTGCCTTACAAAAAGTTGACTCCATTAAATTTTCCCAGTGATGCAGAGGTGAGATAAGTAAAAAAGACTTCGCAACGGGTCCTTTATTCTGCTCCAATGATGGTCATGACACAACTTAATAAATACAAATGCAGCTGTTGATCTTCACACAGTGGAGGGTTTCTCCAAGGATTCCATCACTTTCTTTGCAGTCCACAAGGAAACAGTCCCATTGCTAGCGAGTGGGAAAATGCCTTCTCGTCAAGAGACGGAGAAAAGTGAAAATTGGAGTAATGTGCTCTTTGTATTCCTTCTTGCCTCCCACGTGAGTAAATTGCAGAAAGGGTCAAGGTTCACATTGCAGCTAAAACTGTGCTGTTGATCACGTAAGGATCCTCCCCCCTCTTCTGATTGTATCAACTGCTTCGGTTTCACTTAAGTTGTGCTTCTATGGAACAGCAATCCCAGGAATCATTAAATACAATACTAACGATGATGTCTGAGTTCTAGGAATAAAAATATCCATCTACTGTAACACAAGTCCAACCTACAGAAAGGGAAGAAATGGGGCAGTAAGAAAAATGAAGCAGGAAAAGTTAACTTAAAATGTAGCATAATCTAGTTTTTTATTTGGGGTATTTTCTTTTTAAAATTATTGGGCATTCTTACAGATAACATTCCATAGTTAAATCACATCAATCAGTATTGTACAATCAGTTTCAAAACATTTTCTTCTTGAACATCTTGATATCAGCTCCCCCCCTACTGCCCCCACCAGAGACCCTTATTATTTTTTCCTGTAATAGTTTTTCTGCCTTACACAATCCAATTTACTCATTCACATACAAATGTAGTTTTTTTAAAAAGCCACTTTTAAAAAGTGTTAAAAACCTTAAGGGAAGTTGTAAGCATGAATTTTCTAGGTAAATATACTTATGTTCACTGAAAATTTCACTTACCTTTTCCGAATCTGTTCCTGGACACCTCCAATTGTATAAGTAATACTGCAAATTGCCATCTCCTATACCAAACTTGAGTTTTTCCAAGAATGTCTTATTTTCCATTAAATCTAGTGCATTGAATACATCAAATCCTTTCTGTCAATATACAAAGAAGTTAAAATTAAAAATTTCAAAGGCTGAGAAGCTTTCTATGATTGCAGCATTTCTGTATAACAATTCCACGACTAATAGTTCAAGTATGAAATTATAATAGGATTGGATTACTGCAATATATAGTCGAAGAACTTAGCCCAAAAGTTCCTTATAAAATTGCCCCAAATTTGATGATCAAAGGTGATCCAGAAATGTTGAATGAGGGCTAACACTGAGAGAGTAAAGTTAAGATTTCAAAAATAGCTTGTTCTTGTTTGAGAAGAGTACAGTTGCCCAGGGGGTTCATCTCCAGGGACTGTTTGTTAATTTTGAGCCAAATTCTGACTTAGCTGCAACTACAGCCAAGTAAATAAAGTTGTGAAGACTCTAAATAGAATATTTCATCTTGGATTGATACTGAGAATTTCAGTTGAATTTTCATAGTTAAAATTTTTTACGTATTATAGTACTATGCAACACGATCTAGACAAAGCAAAGAAGGCGTTCTATATTTTTTTCTTCCCCAAATCTTAAATGACCTATTAATGACCTTTTTAGGGACGTGGTTGAAAATGAGCATTACGACCCAAGAATCTGAGGGTAGTGTTGATTTTTCGATCCATAGGTTTTATAAGTTTATAAAACATCAAATACTAGGAATAATATTTTATTGGATTCAATAATTATATCAAAATACTGATTTTACTTTCTTTTTTTGGGAGAAATGGTTACTTGTAGCAAGAATGTTGGTGATTATCACACGGGAAAGGGAACAGTAATGCAATCTAATAAGGTCTATTTTTAATTGAATTCCTTTTAATTAAAACATTCAGAGACAATTAAAAACATTGCTAATTATACACAGCAGCACAACCATCTACTCATGTATTTTCCAGGTTTTACCTAGTCTTACAGTGTTAAAAGTTTCTGATTTTTACAAAATAACTACCCCCTCCCCCCTTTTTGGTCTTTTAAGTTGCAATAGAATTAATGATGAAAATAACCACTAAAATTTTAACTGTAACTTATGAAAATGACTCATTTCACTGGTGGTCAACAGTAAAGAGGATGTCAAATGAATTCTACCTGTGTGGGAAAAATGCAGAAAGAGGTTTGATATCTTTTAACATAGTATGTACTTTGAGAAGAAGGCACAGGAAAAACATGAGTTGCTTACCAACTTGGCTATGATGAGCGCGTCGTTCATGAGGTCTAAGAGGGGCGTCTCCGTGTGCACGTTGTAGAAGGAGTAAGCCGCTTTGAGGCTTTTGTGAATAGGGTGATGCATGACTGTTGAAGGGAGTGTATAGAAGCTCAGGAAGTCAGTTAATTTACCACTTGAGCTCTAAAAAACAAAGTTTTTATCAGGTAAGTGTCTCCTTGAAAACATGTAATCCACGTCTTTAAGCAAACTTTTTATCATAACTTTCTGTGAGGACAAAAAGGAACAGCTTCTCTTCCTCCTAGACAGTGTGACGTGAAGACCTTACAGCATGCTGTCAGCCAAGAACTGCACTGCTAACTACAGGCTGAAAGTTCCGACCCACCAGCCACGAAGTGGGAGAGAGACGAGACTGACTGCTCCCATGAAGCTTTACAGCCTCAGAAACGTTACATAGCGGGTCGTGTTGAGTTGGAATCAACTCAGGGACAGTGGGTTTGGGTGGGGCCCAAGTTGAAGAGCCTAGTGTCGCCACCGGATGTTGGTGGTTTGAAGCTACCAGCCACTTTGTAGGAAAGTGTGTTCCCATGAAGATGACACAGCTTTGGAAACACTGTGGGCAGTGCCCTTTCGTCCTGTAGGGACACTTTGAGCAGAGTCCACTTGACAGCAATGGGTTGTAGGTTTTGTGTTGGCTTTTTAATAGTATCTTGGAAGTTGCTGGGTGATGCAATTCATAAGGGCTGGGATGGTGGTTGAAATCCACCCAGAGGTGCTTCGCCATCTGCTGACGCGTCACAGCCCTAACAGGCAGCCCCAGAGGGGGCAGAGTTCTACTCTGTAACACATGGAGTCAACCAGTGAGTTGGAATCCACTCAAAGACCACTTTGTTGAGTAGAGGATCTTAGGCTTTTGCCAGAGTGCTAATTAGCAATTTGCATAAAGTTCTTAGGAAACATTATTCTAAGAAGAAAGCTTGCTGGGGGTTAATTAATGAGTGACGAAAGTAGATTTGTTGTTTTTACAGAAACATTAGCACTAATGATTACAAGGCTATCTTCTCCAACTAAAAGACATTATATATAATACTTAACACTTTATCTTAAGAGCAAGAATTTTTATTGGCTTCAATTGAAGTTAAATTGTTTGGCAGGAGTTTGTGAAAGGTATTGATACTACACTAAAATACACAGATATAAAGATCTCAGAATTTGTAAAAATAAATATATAAAATAAAACAGGAGGCAATCAGTGGGATTTATCTCGGCATCACTGGCATGGTTTTTGATAAAGGAAACCAGCTGGTACTTTGGGGTGGTTTTGATTAGCTGTGGTGGCCTCAGCCTTTTGGGATCTACTACATTTGAATTACGTGGCTGAGGGCTCTGGACCACATGCATGCCATGGAGAGTATTTCTTTCAGTAGAAAAGAAAATTCCACAGAGACGGGTTGTCTTTATTTTTGAGTGCTTCTGGTTCATTAGATTTTTTTTTTTTTAAGACAGGAAGAAATTAACAGGGTTAAATGTAAGTGATTCTTGATTGCTTCATACAGCCACCTCAATATTAAAAATGAATTAAAGACTTAAACATTCAGCATTCATGAGGATTTTACATTTTCCTCTGAATTTGCCATGCTGGATTTCACAGGGACATATCCTGAGATCACCCCCTTTACATCCTAATTATCATCTACTTAAAAAGTCTTTCACATTTAGGATAAGATTGGTCTTTCCTTCAGTTTTAAAATGTTACTAGAATTATTATCCAACTCTTTTTGAGAAAACCAAACCCAAACCCACTGTCATCAAGTAGATTCTAGTAGATTCTGACTCACAGTGACCCTAAGCAGAGTGTTTGCTGAGACTAAATCTTTATGGGGATCAGACAGCCTCATCTTCCTGCAGGTGGGTTTGAACCTTGGACCTTATGGTGAATTCACGGACATAGTGTTGAAGAAGCCATGCATTAAAAAGAAAGTACATCCTGTATGATCCCATGTATATGAAGTTCTAGAACAGGTACGTTCCACTTGTAGCCTGGACATTTCACCCATTATCTTGGAGGACTCTGGATTCTATTTAAATCTTTTATTTCAGTAGGTCTCAAAACTCACTGCGGTTGATTCGTTTCAGACTCAGCAACCTATGAGACAGACAGGGTAGAACTGCCCTGTGGGTCTCCGAGACGGCAAATCTTTACAGGAGTAGAGAGAGCAGCAAGAGTCTTGAATAACCAATATGTTCTTGACGAATATAATCAGTGTCACTGAATCATACATGTAAGGAGATGTGAAGAGGTATATATTTTTCTATATATATTTCTACCACTATAAAAATGTTATTTAGGTAACAGGTAATGGGTTTATTATAGGTATATTGGGGTTAAATAACATTTTTACATTTTTGTTCTGATCTTGAATATGATAGATATCTATAGTTATAATCCACAGAAATAAAGTCTGAGATCCTCAATACATTAAACGAGCCCTGAGTTCAAAGGGGTTGACAACTGCTGCTTTGTCGAGACTTGTATGTGGATAAAGATTTGCGTACAAAGATGTTTACTCTAGCACTTTTAGAAATAGTAATTTTGAAGCAGAGGCTGCTCCGTTATTCTTCAGAAATGTCCTCTTGGATTGACTGCCCACTAGCACCATCACTGTGCTCATTCAGCCTGTAATCCTACAACACCGGACAGTGCTGGGGTCACACTTCCAGCTCAATGCTTACAACGGAACAGTGACTGGAACCCTCTAGCAGATTCATTGGGATCTCCCTGGCTATTTTCTGCCCTCCAGGTATTCACCAGATTAAATCCTAACTTTGCAACCCCTCCTATTTTACCCAAAGCGCTTCCAAGTAAGATGTCATCGGAACAATATATTCCAAGCTTTTAATGAAAACATTGAAAAGTCACTATGCTGAATTCATCTGATCAATCCTCAGAAAATCTAGAGTGCTTTGCCCCCTTTCCTTGGACAAAAGGTGAGTTCAGGTGGTAGAATAATGTCACCTTAACCGAGCATGACTTAGTTTTCACCCCATTTCACAAAACAACATGAGAAATTGACTTCTCCACTTCTCATGTTTCTCCACTTTTTGTTTTCAACAATAAGAGAAGGCAGTGAATGACCCAGGCCACAGTGTGCTGGTTTCCCATTAGTAAGTAGTAAGAGTGTGCGCTTGCCCAAGAGTAGAATTGGTGAGAAGACAACCTGTTCTCATCCGGGTGAATGGAAACCTAGTATCAAGGCAACTAGTCAGGGTGAAGAACACAATGGGTCCTATGTGATCTTTCCAGAAAAGAAACGGAAGAGTTCAGTATTTTCATACTTGTCTGAGCTATCTTATCCGCTTATCTTTACCTCCACTACAAACGTGTCAATAATGTGCTCCTGTGGGAGGAACCAGTGGGCGACATCCGCTTCATCCATCACTGGGGCAAGGTGAAACTGCTCCAGGTAACTGTTGATTAATTCTCCAACTGCTTTGATGTCTTTTGAGTCCATTGGTCTCAATCCAGAAGTCTTTGTAACCTTGTCAGAGGGAAAACAAGACAAAGTTGAGCGTTTAGAGTTAAGAGTGTGAGGACAGCCACTGCACTGCTCAACGTGTGGTCCGAGACCAATGTTACAGCTTGTCAGAAAGGCAGAACCTCGCTCAGCCCCGCCCCAGATTGACTGAATCAGAACCTTCAGATTACCCGGTGACTCATGGACACACTCAGGTTTGAGAAGCCGTGACTACCCTATATGCTAGACTATGTATTGTATCCGTTTTTCTATGGCAGGTCAAGGACCCAAATAAAGTCAATGGGAACCATTCACATGACAATGGGTTTCTATACACTGATGCCAGGGATTTTAATCATCTACTAGATAGGGTGAAACAAGCTTTTATTGGGTGCTCCGGAGTATCAGTATGGGTGATAACATCGCCACAGCTAACATTTTGAAAAGCCAGTGGAAAGCACGCAGAGAAATGTATTTTTTGACATAGCCTGTGAGAAGCATGCAGATTTTGTTCTCTTAAATCACAGAAAGGGCAGGGAAGCAGAGCGCATCGGCCAGGATGGGAAGGCAAGCATTTTGGTAGCCAAGTGTTTCCTAAAAGCTAGTGGTGGTCAGGGGTGGAACCTGGCCTTTCAGGTTGTATTACCCCTCCCCCCACCACCAAAGGTGATCAAGACTTCCTCGTGGGGCCAGAATTTGCACCCGGTTTTCCCTAGCACCATAGTCTTTAAATTATGCTGCAGAATACAAGGGTCAAGGCAGGGTCCCACATGAATTTGTTCAATTGTCCTCAAGGAATCTCCAGAGATCAATAGGTTTTCTGGGAGTCACAAGAGGGTACTTGTGACTAAAAGTAACAAAACCCATTCCCTCTGTTATTTGTACATGCCTGAAATAACCTTCCACATAGAGCACTGTTTTTTCCAATAAACTTGATGTTTTTTCTTGAAGATATGTTGGATGAATTTTGGGATCTGAATTTCCTGGGTTATTTCTCAATGTTGAAAAACAAATGAAATCTGCCTATAGAATTAGAACATATTTCCTCCATGCCCTTAGACTAAACATGGTATAATTACAAGTTAGAACATAGGTTTATATCTTGAGTCTGAGCTTTGATTGATGGTAACTGGCTGCTTGAAGTCCTGTGCTGAGGCCTCTATGGTTCAGTGACAAAGTGTACTGATTGATTATTGATTACTAGGATGCTGAGGGAAGAAGCATGCATTGTATTTTGACCCCAAAGTTCTTCCTGAACGTTTACCCAGTACCACTCAATTAATTATGATTTATGTATTCTGTAGATATATTAATGTCATCTGAATATAACTTGACTATCTAAACTTCCAAGAATGTAAGCCCGTAACAGGATCTCAAAGTCTCAGACACAGCCAGGTCCCAACTTCCATTGGTAACCTTTGAGCAAGCAGAGCAACGTGGCCTGGATATTTGTTACCTGAATGAATGGATGTCCCTGTTTTGCATGGAAACAACATCTGTGGACATGGGAAAAAATGCACCACCAACACCGACACTTCTATGGCCTGGCTTTTAAAAGTGCAAGCCACACCTGAAACGCTATTTTTCTTTTGTTTCTTTCTCACTAGACCAATTTTAGGTTTTGTTAGCTTTTCTTGAAAGCAATTCATAGGAACCTATTTACAAATTTACAAATGCTGTTACCTAAAACAAAGATGTACTTCAAAATGATAGTAGGAAGTCCAAATCATATGAAATATGTATGAGGCGTGAGGAGCTTCAAAAGGATCGTGGAAGAAATGAAATTAAAAAGTATTGGAATTTTTCCATGAATTTGTTGAAGCTCCTTCCACTATACTATAGAAACTAAAACACACAAAAACTTTCAGCTTTGAGAAAGACTTCAATTAAGTTTAAATATGTTTTCTAATACCAATGAAGTTTAGATCTTTTTATTTTGTATTTTTAAAAATCATTTTATTGGGGGCTTGTACAACTCTTCTCACAATCCATACATCATTGTGTCAAGCACATTTGTACATTTGTTGCCATCGTCATTCACAAAACATTTGCCTTCTACCTGAGCCCTTGGAATTAGCTCCTCATTTTTTTCTCCTCCATTCCCACCCCCTCCCTCATGAACACGCTAATTTATAAATTATTATTTTTCATGTCTTACATTGTCTGACATCTCCCTTCACCCACTTTTCTGTTGTCCGTCCCCCAGGGAGGGGGTTATATGTAGATTCTTGGGATTGGTTCCCCCTTTCTACCCTACCTTCCCTCCACCCTCCCGATATCGCCACTCACACCACAGGTCCTGAGGGGTTCATCTGTCCTAGATTCCCTGTGTTTCTAGTTCCTATCTTTACCAGTGTACATCTTCTGGTCTAGCTGGATTTGTAAGATAGTATTGGGATCATGATAGTGGTAGGGAAGAAGCATTAAAGACCTAGAGGAAAGTTTTATGTTTCATTGTTACTACCCTGCACCCTGACTGGCTTGTCTCCTCCCTGCAGCCCTTCTGTAAGGGGATGTCCAGTTGCCTACAGATGGGCTTTGGGTCCCCACTCTGCACTCCCCGTCATTCACAATGATATGATTTTTTGTTCTTTGATGCCTGATACCTGATCCCATCGACACCTCGTGATCACACAGGCTGGTGTGCTTCTTCCATGTGGGCTTTGTTGCTTCTCAGCTAGATGGCCACTTGTTTATCTTCAACCTTTAAGACTGCAGACGCTATATCTTTTGATAGCCGGGCACCCTCAGCTTTCTTCACCACATTTGCTTATGCATCCGCTTTGTCTTCAGTGATCATGTTGGGAAGGTGAGCGTTAGATATTTTTAATATAAAAATATTTTCTTTTCTCAAAGAACAGTCTTTTCTCAGTAACAGTCAATAATACTAGATTAATTAATGAACGCATCAATATCTATGCTGTCAGCAGAGGCTATTATAGAATGAGAAAAAGTTGGCCACCTCTTTTTCCAGAGCAAAAAACATTCTTCTGTAGCACAATATTTGCTCACTGAAACATCAAACTGTGAAATCATTAAAATCAACTCATCTTGCCTAGCAGACATCTTTAAAGCAACAATGTTCACTTGTCCGGGGTTCTCTTTGCATGTGGAGTACCCCCAAAGAGCTCTGTTTATGTGAGCTATAGCTATCTATCTTGATTAATATTAGAAGTTAAGACTGAGAAACAAAACACACACTACATAAGCACACTTTCCATGTAGCCTCTGGAAATCTCCATCATTCATTTACCAAGTATATGAAAGTGAAAAACACGAATACTGTCTCAGTGCTGTTATGTAAATAGCGTTGGCTTCATCGGTCCTCTTGAAAGGGTCTTGAGTCTTCCTAGGGTCCCTGGACTACACTTTGAGAACCATTGTCTTAGGTCTTTTAAGGTAGGAAACAAAAAGTGGGAGAATTTGGAGTAGCAAAAATTAATGAAACAGTGTTTGACTTTGTTCTTTTAAACTGGCATTTCATGATGATCATACCTTGCCGACACAACCGCTGAAGACAAAGCACGTGCATAAGCAAATGTGGTGAAGAAAGCTGATGGTGCCCGGCTATCAAAAGATATAGTGTCTGGAATCTTAAAGGATTGAAGGTAAACAAGCGGCCATCTAGCTCAGAAGCAACAAAGCCCACATGGAAGAATCATACCAGCCTGTGTGATCACGAGGTGTTGAAGGGATCAGGTATCAGGCATCAAAAAAAAAACCAAAACATTGAGAATGAGGGACAGTGGAGTGGGGATCCAAAGCCCATCTGTAGGCAACTGGACATCCCCTTACAGAAGAGCTGCAGGGAGGAGACAAGCCAGTCAGGGTGCAGGGTAGCAATGATGAAACATACAACTTTCCTCTAGTTCTTAAATGCTTCCTCTCCCCACTGTCATGATCCCTATTCTGCCTTAAAAATCCAGCTAGATCAGGATGTACACTGGTAAAGATAGGAACTGGAATCACAGGGAATCCAGGGCATATGATCCCTTCAGGACCAGTGGTGTGAGTGGTGATACCGGGAGGGTAGAGGGAGGGTGGGTTGGAAAGGGGGAAATGATCACAATGATCTCCATATAACCCCCCTCCCTGAGGGATGGGCAAAAGAAAAGTGGGTGAAGGGAGATGTCAGGCAGTGCAAGACATGACAAATAATAATTTATAAATTATCAAGGGTTCATGGGGGGTGTGTGTGTGGGAAGGGGGTGGTGAGCTGATCCCAAGGGCTCAAGTAGAAAGCAAATGTTTTGAGGATGATGGCAACAAATGTACAAATGTGCTTGACACAATGTATGTATGTATGTATTATGAGAAGAGTTGTACGAGCCCCCAATAATATGGTTTTTTAAAAGCCTAGTAGTTTGAGCAAAGGGAGAAATAATAATAAACTTGGCAATGTGGTAGCAAGTCAACCAAGTTATCTATAAAATGGGGCTATTAAGCATGAACTTCTAAAGGTTGCTGAAGGATAAATTGGATAATGTGTAGGAAAGCACTTTACACACTTCCAATCATGGGTGAGATAGGGGTGGGGGGCAGGGAGGCAGCCATTACACCACCAATGCTAGACTAAGGCTGTACCACACAAGGGCTCCACTCTGACTGATGACGATGCTAACGTCTGGTTTTACAGTCCATGCCTAATGAGTGACTCCTGGGTCAGCATCTATGGGCTGATGTGCAAAGTCAAATCAAAAAGACATTGAGCTCATTAAATTCTAAACATCCAGGAAAAAAATGGAACAAAAAGCAATGCTAGGGATGACAGCCTCTTCCCCCTCATTCCACTTTAAGCAACATGCATGTAACCAAGCTCACTGCCATCAGGTTGACTCAGACTCACGGTGAACCTGTAGGACAGGGTAGAACTGCCCTGTGAGTTTCCGAGACTGTAACTCTTTATGGGAGTAGAAATCAGTCTCTTCCACGGAGTGGTTGGTGGTTTCGAACTGCTACACTTGAGGATCTCAGCCCAATGCATAACCATTACACCACCAGGGCTCCAACCTGTATGCCCAGTTGGTTTCTTTCTTTGTTTTTCTTTTTTACACACAGGCTAGGCTGTTTGAGGTTCAAAAAGCTGCAATGTGGAGGACAGCACTGCCAGGGGACTTAAAAATTCAGCATGTTCAACATTTTCATTTCAGTTAGCATAAATAGAGCTCTAAGTATTTGAAAACTGTCTAGGAGGACACAGAATCAATAGCACCTTCCGAAGGAGACATGTCACTGTAGCTGGGCCTTGTGTCCCTTTCTCTCACTGCATTTGTGATGCAATGAGACACGGTCCCTTTCTGTCTCTTTTGGCCTGGGCCCTTAGCACAAAGGGTCTCTGGCTTCCAATAGGAAATGAGTGAGTAAGTGATGACAACACAGCATGGCCTCGGTGACCACCTTCCTACACCTAAGGTCACACATAATGTCATAAGACCCATTACTCTGTAATAACCTAGGAAGAAACAGTAACTCTGACGAAACCCAATCTTCACACAGAAGATCCTCGTGCAGCCTCCTCTGAGTGAGAAGGGGACCTTTGCTTCTCTCACCACCAACGGTGACTGGCTATCACATCCACGAACCGATAACGTTTAAGACTGACTTTCGTCCTGGTAGCCCTCTCTGTAGGCTCTCGTTGCTGCCTTTGATGAGCTGTGCTATGGAAGAGCCAGGGAGTGAGGGCTGAGGGTGGTCTCTGACTGAGACCCAGATCGGAACCCAGGCCCTCAATCCCACACACAGCACACCAGGAACTGGTGAGCCCCGCCAGCAGCCACTTGAGCTGGCCAGGTGGATCCTTCTGAGTCAGGTTGTCAGAAGAGACCCCAGGCCTGGTCGCCACCTTGATGGCCGCTTCCTGAGAGACCTCGAGAGATCCTTAGTGATGCCTGGGTTCCTGACCTAAGGCAATGAATGTGTGGTCTTTCAGCTGCTGAATTTGCAATTTGTGATGTAGCACTAGATAACATACCATCCAAATGCCAGATAAAGGTCATATTGATGAGCATATTAAAAAATTTCCCGATTAAGACAAATTTACAAGTGTGATCACTTCATGAAACAGGATTTCCTCTCCCTGAGTCTTTCCTCGAAATTTGATTCCCGAGTCCCACTATGTACATCAGAATCGGTACATTTCTTCCCTCTTACTTGGCAGACCATGCGACTCAATTTCACCACTTCCATGTCGGGAGTTCAGTCCCATCCAAGTATAAACAGAAGAATCTAAAAAGCCTTTTAAAAAGAAATAAAAGCCAAGTATTTCCACATGCGCTCCCCTACTTTTCTTAGCTTCTTACTCATAGGCAGTTTTTCTAGCTACATACTCACTTCCTCAGATACGTGAGCTAATTGTTAGACCTGCAAATAAAAATTTTCTATATGAAAAGCCTCAGTTGTTATAGCTTTGAAAAACTGCAAATCATTCTTACTTACATCTGGAAGTCTGTACAGTTTCATTGTTCTCTGTAAAGTCATATTCCGACTCAAGTGGGAAAATTTTACTTCTACCAATTTTCGGGGGTTTAGTGATCGATGCCAGTACCTGAAACACAATAAAGGTTTTAAAATCAAATTGATCTCTCATTCCACAAAATGTGATTCTTTGCCTCAGTGGGGCCGTTAAATAAGCATTTACTGAATGTGACTGCTGGATGCTAACCTCTTTCTTTCTAGGCAATTATTTTATCAGTCCCCCCCCCCCCCAGCTCTATCATATGTCCTGCATTACTAGTTGTGATTCTTTAAAGTCTGTGTCCTTTCCTCTCTGAAGAAAGAGAAATCTTCAAACTGAAAAGTAACTATTAATAACACCTGCTTTGCAAGCATTTAATTTCCATCATAGATTCTGCAAAAGGCAAACTGGAACGTTACCAAACATGAAAACTTTTCTCCCAAATCACTAGCATACATTGTACACCAAAGAGTGTCATTTTAGAGAAAATTTAAAAGTGATATTAGTTCATGCTCTGGGATGAACAGTAATTATTGGAATTATTACAAAAATGTGCCTTGGAAGTCTTGTTTATATTTATTTTTAGATGTAAGAACTTGGGGTCACCATGAGTTGAAACGGACTTGGTGGTAGTGGGCTTGGTTTTTTAATTTCTATTGATTTTACAGCTTTTCCTTTTATAGTAAAAGAAAACATATACACGCTAATCCTTGAAAGTTTTACTTTGATCTGAGTCGACCAAAACAGTAGACAAAGATAAATCCTTTCTGATGCCTTTAGAAACAAGGCAGTCCAGTGACATACTGATAAACACACGCTCTCAGTGGAATAACTGTTGAAAGCTGACGAGAGCAGACGGAGCCACAAAAGCAGACGGTAGACGTTATGTCAGTGGCCTTGCAGTCAAGGAGTAGGAAGCTTTGGGAGTAGCCCCTGGCAGTACTTACTGCAGAGCACAGCCTAGAAGGGAGTGTTAAAGGTGAAAAGGAAAGGGCGTGGTAGTTACATAATCTGGTGCCAATTTGGGCCCTGAGATGATTAAGAGTGAAGGGGTGGAGTCTAGTCCATCAATAGGGTCATAGCCCATGAGGCCTCTGTGGGTACGGCCTTCTCCTGAGGATTCTGGGAACTCTGCCACTTTCCTCCTTGGAGGCTCACTACCTTGGAGACTCTACTGAGAAGACACATGGCACTGTGCCCTGGGAGCTGGAGAAGCCACATGGACCTACCCTGATGCAACAAGACTTCTGGAGCCGGAGAAGCCATGTAGAGACCCCTGCCAGTGTTGCGATGCTTACAACGCCATTGGATCCAGAAGACTTCCAAGGCACTGGCTCGTGATCTTCCTGCATTTGGCATATTGCATGTGTTTTGTGAGTCTGAAGAGGACGTTATAGATGGACATATGGGCTAATGTCGGACTTAATCTGGGCTGGGATGTTTTCTCAATATTCAATTGCTCTTGTATATCAATCTCTTTCTTATTCACATGAGTCTCCCTGGATTTGTTTCTCTTGTCTACCCGGACTCACACAAAGGGTGGAACATTTGTTATTTCAAGACCAGATGCCCTAGGTTTCGCCATGGAACATGGCACCCTCTTTCCAGTGGAATGGAATCAGACACACATACATCCAACATCATCAGCAGGACAGTTTTGTAAATATCCTTTATCATCAAGCAGAAAAGGTACTGGAAGACCCAATAACTAGGTTTTCCAGTCTCCATGTCTGCTATCAACAAGCCCCATCATCATGAGCAAGGCAGATCTGCCCCTGCCCCTGCCTGAGAAGAGGCATACTTCTAACAATGGTAGCGAGTGATGCTCAGCATGGTTCTGAAAATATGTAAAGTGCAAGATGAGGGTCCGGTGCTGTTACCTGCATGTGGCCACAGGCTTGGGAAGTACCACCCCAGCGGTATAAACGGCTTGGAAAATCCCTTCCAGGTTCACTCTTCTGGTTATTTCTCGAATTAACACAGGGGCTACCCGTTTTGATCTCAATTTCTTGTGAACACAAAGAAAGTTGATTTCTACCATCTTCTTCACACTAAGAAACAATGGTGCCCAAATTAGAATCAGCAGAAGAGGAAGACATTTTTAAAAACAAGTCGCTGCTCATAAAACTTCCGGGGGTGAGAAAAAGTACACCTTTCAGATAAATAGTCTATCATTTAGATGTTATACAAGTTCATATTAAGAGATGATTCCCCATCAGCCACCACCATTGCTGTTAGGTGGATTCCGACCCAAACGAGTGAGGCCTGCGAGTCAGCATGGAGCGACATACCATGGTGTTCCGGGCAGGGACCTTTGGGGAGCAGACTGCCAGGCCTTTCTTCTGATGTGTGTTTGGGCGTGCTGGAAGCACCAACTGTGTGCACTTAGTAGTTGAATGCGTCACTGTTGGTGGCAGCCAGCAACTTGGAGCAGCTGCCGCCCCACGGCTCCGCCTCAGGGCCGTCCCATGCCCCGGAATAGACCAGAAGCCTGTAACTCTGCCATAGCGACTCAAACCTCCTTGTTCTAAACACACTTCAGGACCTTCGTAACTTCGCTGGCCTGCATGCTCCTGAACCTGCCCAGATGCTACTTGGAGGCATAGCTCCCTGTCCCTACCAGTTACTGAATTCCTAAGCTGGCGCAGGCTTTCTCCCGGTTCTGGGTCCAGGAGGCAGGCACTTTTTCTCTTTCACATTTCAGTCATGAATTTCATTCCCGGGAGAGAACTTACAGGATGCACGGTATTCGAAACAGCAGGCGTCTTGAGTTCAGACACATCTAGCAGTAAATAAACTAACCTAAAACATCTGCAAGAGAACACACCCACTATTTTGACACCTTTTGACCTGTAGGGCGGGGGACTCCGAGCAAAACTGCGACAAGCTTATCCTAGGACTAGAAAGTTTTTAATCCTTCTTAAAATGTTCTTCCAGATCTTGAAAGCCTCATTTTAATAGCAGTTTTGCTTTGTTTTACAAAGCCCACATTTTCCTGGCTGCGGATGGGCGCTGCTGACCCAGCCCGCTCTGAGGGGGCATGGCGTGCTTGTAAGCAAGACTCGCGTCAGCCCCTGCCTCTGCTATAACCAAAAGACATCCTAAGAGGATTTTCGCTTTGACCACAAGGGGTGAAAAGCGGAACTTGAGCTCAGCGTTTCCTGTACTCTCGAAGGTCAGGGGCAGGGCCCGCACCTGGAAGAGCGCGCAGTGTCCCCGAGCTCCTTCCTCGAGACCAGACCCGGCACCTCAGCAAACAGCCGCTGGAGCCCCGAGCTGGGTCTGTGGACACTACGTGTCGGTGGGGCTTGGGGTTGTGTGTGGGGTTTGGCATCACGTGACAGGTTATTCCTGGGATCTGGGAGTGCCCAGAATCCCTCCGCCCCAGCTCAGTTAACGGCTTCTTCGTTTGCTGCCACCTGGGCTTACGAAAGGTTTCACAGGCATGGTCCCCGTCCAGATACCGGGGGCAGCTGCACTGCCAGAGCGGACTGGAAGCCCATCCATGGCGAACCAACTCCCCACCGTCCGCCCACACTGCCAGGTGAGTAGAGGGACACAGGTTTTCCCTGTGGTTTTTGCACTGCGGGAAGGGCTGCTGACAAGCTCATGGAGGGAGAGAGAAAAAGGACAAGAACTCCTCAAACCAGACCCGCGCGCGCGCAGAGCATACCTGTCGTAAATCCGAATGCTTGCAGGGATGGCGCTTATGAACCCTACTAGTTTCTTATTTGAAGACACTCTGACCCCACAGTGCCACTGAGGGAGCCAGCCTGGAGGACGCAGAGCCCTAAGGTCAGGGTGGGGGAGACAAAGGGGAGTCCAATGAGTGTCGGAGAACACAGGAGGGGACACAAGCCCCGAGCCAACCACCCCCGCCCCAGCATCACCCCAGGCTGAGCCTCACTTACCACAGCAAGAACTCGGGCGAATAGTCGAACCGGAACATGTTGTCGTCATCCTCCACGTAATTCTCATTTAACAGTGTGTATAACTCCTTGAGCTACAAGATAAAACAAGTGTCCTATCTCTAGGAGGCTCAGAACCAACTTGGAAGCAGTTCTTGGGAGTTCAGGTTCGGGATCATCAGGGTGACTTACCACTTCCGCATTACTCAAATCTAGCGTGTCCCACATGAACCCCTGCGGCAGAGAATAGGGTTCCTGCCGTATATTGTCCTTATCTGGTTCAATCGCACCGTGAGACGTCACGACTTCATCTGGGGAGGACACGAGAGAGACAGTACGTTACAACCCGTTCTCATAGCCCAGATTGTCCAGTCCCAGAAGTCACCCCCAACCCCTTCCCACCACCACCAGCCAAAACGGGGACCATTGCGTCGATTCTATATCGTGGCGACTCATGTGTTTCAGAAAAGAACTGTGTAATTTGGCGTTTTCATTGGTTGTAAGTTTTCAGAAGTAGACCACTAGGGTCTTCCTTCTGAAGCACCTCTGGGCAGATTCGAACTGCCAAGCTTGGGGTTATTAGCCACCCAAAGACTCCTAGCATGCACCCCAGTCCCTGCCACTCAGTCAAGGGCACTCAGGCAGTATCTGCTAATCAGTGACCTCAGGTACCGATTCTTACCATCACACGTCTCCCCAGATAGAAGTCACAGGCTTGACACTGGTGGATGGGCTCTAAAGGTCGCATTCCTTTTGACCTCTAATATTCCTGCTCTTATGTCTTTTTTTGCCAGCTCATCTCCCCAGACTCTATGACTTCAGGATCCTCCAAGTAGTCAACCGGCTAAAATCCCAGTGGCTCCCACAAAGTCCTTTCTGAGTGAATGCTGCTCAGTCCTGTGCCTGAACTGAGATCATACCAAGAGGTCTACAAACAAGGATGGGGTAAGAACCAGAGTGTGACCAACGTTTGACTCTCTGCTCACAGAGGTAGCTGGAATTGGGTGCCCTTAGGACCTAATGGCTTCCAGCAGCTCAGAGCTCAATGCAGCTAAACCCCACACATTTAAATTCCTTTAGCTAATGATAACTTAATAAATGTCACTGAAAATCCTGGAAAGACATTTACGGTCTTCCTAGACTTTTTACTAAATTTCTTTTTACATTTCTAGAATCTAAAAAAGGAGGCAGGCTAATTCCTTCTTTACTTTCTTTTTATATTAGCTCCCTATTTCCCCCCAACATCCCTGCTATACCCCCAAGTAACCATGAATCCAGTTACTCTCTCTGTAGATTTACCTATCCTGGATTTCATATACAGAAAGACATTAAAAAACAACCAACCAACTGTGGTAGTTACATAATCTGGTGTAAATTTGGGACTTGAGAGGATAAAGGGCCTAGTATGTCAATCCGGTCATAGCCAATGAGGCCTCTGTGTGGGCATGGCCTTCCCCTGAGAATTCTGGGAATTGTGGTTATTACCTCCTTGGAGGCAGGAGACACTTCTCACTCACTACTCACTTCCTGCGAGACATCCCTGAGGAGAAGCCACACGCACCCACCCTGATGCAGCCCTGGGCTGGAGCAGCCACATGGAGACCCCTGCCAGCGCTGAGATGCTTACAACACCACTGGATCCAAAGACTTTCTACCCACTGGCCTGTGATCGCCCTGCATTCGGCATCCTTGCAGGTGTTTCGTGAGTCCGAGGAGGACTTCATAGATTGGTATCAGACATATGGGCTAATATTGGACTTATGGGCTTGGAGTGGACTGGGTTGGGATGCTTTCTTAATGTACAATTACCCTTTATATAAAATTCTTATACACATATAAGTTTCTATGGATTTGTTTCTCTAGGCTCCCTGGACTAACACACCAACTAACTATTAACAATAACAAAGTAAAATAGAGAAGAAGCTCTATTGAAAAGAAAACAGAAAACATTGAAAACTAGAACAAACTTAATATGGGTCAAAAGGAAAACCAAATAATAAAGTTAAATTTTAACCTAGCTGCACCTGCACATTCCAATGTACGATACATGATAGCAAAGCTATTCACATTTCTGGTTTGTGGTCAGAGGGAATTCAGCAGAGACTTAATCCACGTGTATTTCCCCTTTGCTTAAAAAAAAAAAAAGGAAACAACTTTTAAATGGGTCAAAAGGGAGATCAAATGACATTACATTTTAACCCAATTACATGTGCCATAGATGACTTTACACAGCTCTCTGTCTGATAACAAGACCACTGACATCCCTCAAGCACAGTCCGAGGGAATTCACCGGAGGCTTAATCCCTATGTGGACCCTGCAAATGGAGTTTGGGCTTCGATTGTCATCCATAGCCTTCTGCAAACCAGGAACTCAGAGTGTAAGCTCTGATACCCTTCCATCCTTCAGATTTGGGTTTTATGATTTACAAATCTTGGATCACACAGGCTGGTGTGGTTCTTCCATGTGGACTTAGGTAACACCTCACTTAGATGGCTGCTTGTTTGAAGACAAGCCTTTAAGACCCCAGATGCTATTCTTCCTGATAGCTGGGAACTATCTAGTTTCTTCACTACACTTTGCTATAGCACCAATATCGTCAGTGATTTCTTCATGAGGGTGAGTATCAAGTACGGGGTATGTCATAAAAACTAACTGTTCTTGGATTGGGACTACAATTAAGTTCGAGCCCACAGTCCATTTATTTATCTATGGTTAATATGTCTCTGATTCACCTTAGAGACATCATTGTCATTTTATGTTAGAAAACATTATCCATCATCCCCCTGGGGCATAAGGTGAATGATTCTATTGATGGAGTCAATAATTTACTCAGTGGTATAGAATTTTAAACACAGTTGAGTCAAGGAAATTATACCACTGTATTTCCCTTCTTTCAACACTGAAGCTTAGTTTCAAACAAGGAGATTCCTCGGGCAGGGCTGTGTCAGAGGAGTGGTGGTTCCAAACCAATGAAAACCACTCTTTGAAGACATGGGAGAGGGTTGTTTCCTGATTTATATTTGATAAAACTATTTATACATGTTTATTTTCAACTCATGTGGCAGAGTACCATTACTCCCCAAGGTCTCCTGGGCTGTCATCTTTACAGGACAGCCCTTTCTCCGGCAGAGCTGCTGGGTGGGCTCAAACTGCCCACCTCTCAGCTAGCGATCAAGCAATTAGCTGTTGTGCCAACAATGATCCTTGATTTGTACATAGCTGGGCTATTAAAAATTTGTAAGGGAATTAATTCCTTTATCTTGTAAAGATACAGATTATGGAAGCTGATCCATCAAAAAAAGATAAAAGACAATCTATTTCCATATACACATAAGACAAAGCATAGGGTTATAATTATTATTTTTTAAATTTTACTCAAATTTTTCTAATTAATAAAAATTTAATATGGCATCGATCTTTTTTGACATAATGTAAAAAAGGAACAATTAAATTATGTAATGGTGACTTGTAAGACTCTAAGTGATCTCACAACTATGATAAAGTAGACACAAGAACCATAGGAGAGAAGGCCCACTCACAGGCAATTATTAAGATGACCCCAAGCCCCTTACATAGACGTTCATGAGGTGTTCCAATTCCCTGACCATACACTGTCATGTGACCAAATTGATACCAATTAACACCATTGGTAATTGAATCCTCTGAAAAAATAATACAAAAGTTTCCATTTCAGTACGATTTAATAGTGCAAATTCTCCAAGGCTTTGGAATAACTGGGTGTGAAACTAACACAAGTGGATACACAGGAGAAACATGACCACGTGAAGAGTAGAAGCAAAACCCAACCAGGAGGGGTGGGGCTGGGAGGGTGAAGAAAAAAGAGATGCCTCGTACATGTCTGTACAAGTATGCAGGGCAATGAATGTACAAATGTGCTTTACACAATTGATGTATGTATGGACTGTGATAAGAGTTGTATGAGCCCCTAATAAAATGATTTTTAAAAAAGTATGCATTCATTTTGTGTAGAATTTGAATAGATATGTTTTGAATATATTTATTTATTCATTTACTTATTCACGGAAAAGTGGAATTTTCCTGTAAACTTCTTGAAGTCCAATTGGGTGTGTTTCTGCATGTGTATTTAAAAAAATACATATTGTTTCAGGCAGAGGGAAATGGGATAGTTTTAGAGTGATAATCATTAGGCCAAAATGATTGTGTTATTGAAAGTCAACGTTATTACCAAAATTTTAAGTTTGTGGAAAATATATTATTTTTATGTAAACGTTTAACTTGAGATAGGAAATAAGTTATATACCGGGAAGAGGGGAGGGGCACAAAAAGTTCATGGACAAATGGAAAGAAAAGATAATGGGATTTTTTTGAAGCTCCTTTGTCTCTTTTGTGCTTTGCGGTCATCGATCCAGTCACGTTTGGGGGGGTGTTGGGGGAGAGACAGAAATGTTTACTTAGTTTGGGAACTGGCTGCGTGTCCCAAAACTGGTATCTGTGTTTCGCAGCCTCGTCGATGCTCCTGGCTGGGCCCTGACACGCCGACAGCAGCTCCATTGCTCTCTGAATATCCTGCAACTTCTGCATTGGAATGGCGGGGCTCTGTAACAGCAAAGACATACAGACGCACACTGTGAGGATGCTGTTGCTGGCCTTATACCCAGGGCACACACACTCGAATCCGCCTTGGAAACTACACTACCTAGAAGCTAATCATCCTCTACTAAGCCTGGTTCGGGTTCTGGGGCTCAACCATGCTGCCATATTGGAGAATAAGCAAGCACTAACGAGGTCTGCAGCTCTATTGGGGCTCAGCCCATGGGGAACCTCAAGGCCACTGCTCCACCCATCGTGGCAGTCTCCCACCCATCTGCCCACTGCCCTCACCATGCCTGTCAGGGCGGGGACACAAGGGAGAAGTGGGCATGTCAGTCAGGCGGAGACAGCCAGGCAGCCCCTACGGTGCATCACTTGCGAGAGCTAGGTGCTCGGCGAGAGACAGGGGGTGGCAAGCCAAGCAACTTCTGGAACGGAAAACTAGGCAGAAAAGGGGAATTTAATTCATTTTTAAAAAGGAAGAAGGAAGTGCAAAGAATCCGGAATTGAGTGCTAGCCTGGGAAGGGAGTGATAAGAAAGGAAGCTAGTGATGACTCTTCTTCCTGGACTGCAACCTGCCTTTCTCCTAATGCCAACAGTCCTCCGACAAAGAGGACAGGCAGTTTCCTCTATACATGCCGGTCCTTGGCAACCACAGCCTGCTCTCCCCCATCCCAGGACTAGGGAAGAGCCTCCTTCCTAAGTAAATGCTAGTCTCAGTCCAAAGACTTCATATTCCAAGTTCCTTCCTCAAGTCAGTAGTCCCATCAGCTCGAAAGATTCCCCCAAACCCAAACCAAGCTCACTGCCACCGAGTCGATTCTGACTCAGAGACTTTATGGGACGGGGTGCAACTGCTTCTGTGGGTTGCCGAGACTGTAAATCTCGATGGGAGTGGGAAGCATAGTCTTTCTCCCAAAGAGCGCTTGGTTGGTGGCTTTGACCTACTGACCTTGTCATTGAGCAGCCCACTGCGTTACCACTAGACCATCAGAGAGCCGAGACTCCCCAGCCTCCCCCTATTTGAAATCCCTCCAATGATAGAAGAATACATGGGCAACATGACTGCACTGAGATGAGAGAGCAGGTTATAAAACTAAACCCAAGAATCTTTGAGTGTGGTAAACAGGAGGGTGAGTCAAAAGATTGCTACGAGGTCAGAAACCTTCCTTAAGCAAGAATATCAGAGTGTGAAGTTACTGGTTCCTGGCACATCCTCCACCTGGGTCCGGACATTGCTACAGATGGGTGTTTCCATCTCTCTAACCTGAAGGATTTGGAGGGCTTCGATTTACGACACATCAAATGGCAGTGTGGGTACCGGCCAGGGACACCCATCACGTCCCTTTTCAATGTTCTTTTAGGAGCTAAAAAGAGTCTGAAGGGGGCAGATCAGAGCTGGGAGGTGGATGGAGTAAGATTTCTTAGCTAACCTCCTACAGGACAGCGCCTGATACCCTCTTAAGAATGAGCAGGTGCACGTGGGGGAGAAACTGCTCAGCACAACTCTCTCATCAATGCAGTTTCCAATTTTCTTAAAAGTTGTTCATAATGGCCTCCCATGATTGTCTTTGTGTCCTCTAAGAAAATCTATCTCGGTGATACCCAGAAATAGAGTTGCCCTTATCTTCTGGGCTCTGCCTTGAATTTCAGGGGCCGGCAGACCCTCTTGGAGGTCACTGCCAGCAGCTTGCTCTCAGGATCATCTCAGTAAGCCCAAGACTCATCCCTGGTGACGACTGTTGCACACAATCATCTTCCTTGGCTTCTAGCTTTCTTAGACGGCGATGGGAAGATCAGCGCTGAGCGGGCTGATCTTGGAGCCATCTGCAGGCACCCAAGCAGTCGAAAAGCTTCCCGAGGCCGAGATGGTCACTGAAAACTGACAACGCCAAACCGCGCGCTGCCAACTCCAGTCGCAACCATCAAGTCAGTGAGTCCTCCCACGCTCTTTCCTGCCGGTTTCTGGCCTTCAGCCCGTGCCTGCCTGTGTCTAGGTGGATGGTCTTCCTTCTCTCGGCACATCTTCGAGGTCTTTTCCACTTCCCTCCAAATGCTCGACTCATCTAAAAAGGGTGGGTTTATGTGGGGCAGCCCTCCTAGACACCTGAAGTATGGCTTCCACAATTTGGGAAGATAATTTACTTGAGTAGCGTTAAAAATTTGGTATTAGCTCTGACCTCCTTTTTTCAGAAGGGCCCCGGATGAGACTTGGACAAGTGTATCGCTGAGACAACGCGTCTTCAGCAACGTGCTGACCCAAGGGACGTGTTTAAACAAGTTTTGTTCGGAACCAACCCTTAAGCTGCTTAACTGGGACCTTAGTAACAATACCTTCTGATGTGCTCTTCTACGCAAAGTAGCAGCATTTTAAAAGAATTTTGATACATACGAAGAATGCCCTAACTCACTGTGGTTAGAGAACATTCCAGAGTCCTTCGGTTTTCCCATAAACACCACGAACACCAAGGAATGGTAAAGTCAAGTCTCCAGAGTTGATGCGCAGCAACTGGGGGTTTCTGCGCAGTTTTGAATCCAAAGTCTGAAGCAAACAACTTACTCTGGGAAGCTAACCCATTGGGCACAGTACAAAACAGAGTACAGACCGTCTTCTGCTTGCTTCTCTTACTGCATTTCCCTAGGGTGCTAGTATGAAGAGACAGTGACGAAGTCTGATGGCATCACTACAATGCTGTATGCCATTTGATTTCATATTGGGATTGAGATCAGAATTAGAAGGGTCATATTTTAATTACATGCTGTGTTAACAAAATACTTCTGCTGAGTTCCTACGATATTTTGTTTGTGTATTATTTCTCTTGTTTGGGGTCTTTAATGAACCTCCCACATAAAAATACCCAATTTCTCACCAAATGAAAGCTAGATCCATTTCAACCCCAACAATAAACAGCAACTGTGATCTTGGCATATTCGACTAAGGATATTTGAACCTATATCAGTTTATCTTAAAAAAACAAACAACTCATTCTTAAAAATACATATATATCTACAGTGCCTGCACCCAATTCTTTGTGACAAGTTAAAAATTCCTAGTCTTTGAGTTAAATCCTTTAACCCTAACATAGCCACTGCTGAGAGTCGATTCAGGCGGGTAATGATCCATGTGTCACAAGAGTACAACTGTCCCATAGGGTTTTCCTGGCTATATCTTTATGGAATTAGATCACCTTCCTTCCCCAGTGCTGTTGGGTGGGTTTGAACTGCCAACCTTTAGGTCAGTAACCAACTGCAAACAACTTGGGCCACGGCAAAGACTTTTAAGGCTAATATATCAAACTCAACACACATGAGTCAGCACCTCTGTTCCCAAGGAGTCAATGCCATCCCAACTCCATGTGGAAACCGCAGGATGGCTTATATTACACCTATAATTAGCTTCATCAAGTCAACCAAGTCCCCCTTCATAAAATGACCACTCAAGAAATCTTTAAACTAAGCAAGTAGTTTTCAAATCCCTAGGGATAGAGCCGTAAGGAAAACCTATCCATTCCCCTTCTATAGCTGTACCACCTGAGGGGAATCAATCTGAGTGAGGGAAGGTGAGAATTAACCCTGGATTAACTTCCCATGATTACATTACTATGGCAGAGTCAGGCACCACGCCCCTATTTCTATACTCACACCATGTGGAACACTAAACATTAACATGTATGTACATATGTATGCATGTATCCTTTCCTCAATACTTTGCAAATTAATCATCTTGGGGGAAAAGTCCACACCCTCTACCACTAAGTATACAAGAATCCAGTCAATGTCATCTACATTTTGGTTCTTGAGTATAACCCAGAATACTCTCCAAATACAGTCTACTGTACTTTAAGGTATGGTCTTCAGTGGGTGATGGTTGAAGAAGGGGTGGGGGTGGTGCTCAGTTAAAAAAAAGCGGAGGAAATCCCTCAGTGAAATAATTCAGACTTGCTTCTAACAAGAGGGGGGAAAGAAAGCAAGAAATCCTCTACCACATAATGCTCAGAGTCCCTTCTGCCTTGGTTGGCTCGTTCCTCACAAGGCATAGAGCTAGGGGAAGGGTCAGAATGACTAGGGACACAGAGGATGGGCAGGAGCCGATGGGGATGGTAGAAGCAATAAGGAGATGTCGACAATTGCATATGAGCTACCACCACATTTATCTGATGAAACGAGGTTCGGAAATGAGAGAGATACTGTGCACGCTTATGGTGGCGTCCTCCATGTCCGTTACCTTGGAAACTATGCCCAGTGGGTACCATTTTCACTACGTGAGAATCAAACTGGACGGCTTTGTCCTCATCTCACACAGTCAGTCAGGGGGAGACTAGGATAAGTCCTTTCAATTCTCAGACATTCCACAGAGGCAGTGGGAAAAAGCACGACTCACCTCAGGGGATACAAGGGGAGTTTCACACAAGGGGCTAAAAAGGAAAACTAAACTTGCATAGTGGCGCCGCCTGCTGTATACAGAGTACTTTAAACCCACTGCCAGCGACCCCTTCACCAGATAAAAACTCATTTTATTAAAAATGATCTCTTTAATTTATTATTACCTGTGAGTTTGACAGGGGAAGTATCACTCCCATTGTACAAATAAGGAAACGGCTTTCATGCAGGTCGGTAGCTTATGTGCAAGTGTATGTGTAAGAATTTGTGTGTAAGGGCCTGGGATGCAATCCAGTTTCCACCCCATCCCACCCCCTCGGGCCCCTTCCAGCACCCCAGACCCTATCCCAGGACAACTGCTGCGTCACAATCAGTTACCCAGATAATCCCGATTTTGTTGAACTTGGGGTTCTTCCCCAGTCACCCTTGAGGCTCTTGCATCAAAAGGGTTTTGGATTTCCTAGCACACAGGGCCTAGGTTCATGGCCAGGGTGGCTGGGGTTTCCCTCCTAAGGGGGCAGGGAGGCTGCTGTCTGTGCACCAGATGCCCATGGGGCACCACCAACCTTCCTCCTGCTGCTGGTAACCCACCGGCGCAGAGCACAGCTGGGCAGCTGTTATGTGGCCTACACCAGGTGGGGGTGGGGGTGGTGGGGCAGGTGAGGATGTATGTACCACCCATGGCTACACAATGAGGAATGGCCGCTGAAGACTGGCCCGATTCAAAGTCAATGTAAGACTTACCCATGGCTGTTTCCGCTGAAATCTGCTGCCAGATGGTGTTGTGCTATTCAGGTAATTAGACAGACACCCAGAGAAATTAAAATGTGAATATCTTCTGAACTAAAAGTCATCAAATATTAAGTGTAACTTAAACAAACAAACAAACAAACAAACAAACAAAAAAAACCAACCCTGACACGCTCACACGCAGATTGTCTCCCAGAGCTAGTCTAAATACAATTCACGGAGAAGGGGGCGGAGCAAGGGAGGTACCCACAGACACACGAAAGCACAGTAAGTACCTGCTGGCTATCTGGGTGCCAAAGGCAGCTGTCGGAAGGCTGGGGGCACCCTCCTCGCCCCGGTACCTACCATTCAACAGTCACAAGAGAAAGCCTAACTACGTGCCTGGTTCAACTGAGGGTTAGCTGGGTAAACCCACTCTCACATGCACAGGAAACCACAGAGGTTTAAATAAATCTGGGCTCTCACTTTTGAAGGCTGCTGGATTTTAATCTCCTGAGAATCAGACGCCGAATCTGACTTGGTGCCTCCGGAGTTTGGTTTCTCCTTTTTCCTCTTTTGTTTCTTCTTTTTCTTTTTGGCTCCCAAATCCCCTCCGGGACTTCTGTGAGGAAATTCAAAGAGTGTCAGGCAATAACATCAAGGAATTATTACAGAAAACAGCACTGCGGTCATCTCGGGAAAAACCCCAGGTACGATGTTATAGATCCACAGTGCTCTGTGAGTGGACAATGGAATTGTGTGGGAGGACGAAGTTAACAGACAGACAAGGCAGGGCTGTAAGTCCATATACGATCCCCCTGTAAGGCGTCCGGATGCCACTTAATCGGGGAGGATGCAATAGAAGTTGTGTTTTATATCAGACGTCAAATAGCTCTCCTAGTTGTGTTCGCGCTGCTTTACCAATCTACAGTTGATTCAGTCTCTCCAGGGAGACTATGTGGTAAAAAAATTGCCCACTAAAACATCTCTTGGTAGATAAAACCAATCATCTCGCTGCAACAGAACTAAAGGAAGCTGCCTCTCTCTCTCTCAGGGGATGTTGTTCTAATAAAGATCTTTTACTATCAAGACGAACAAAAAATACTCTCTAAGTGAAAATAACATGAACCGTTACAGCACTTCCGTCTGCAGCCTCTGTCATGTACGCTGTTCATCTCTGAGAGAGCTCACGGACAGCCCCGGGACCAGCCACAAACGGACCAGATCACACAACCCACCGCCACTGAGGGATTCCAGCTCCCAGCAACCCGGTGTCTTCCTCGCCCCGCCCCCACCCCTTTTTTACACGTTAGTGATCGTTTCTTTTTTCTTTAATTAGAAGATCATTTTATTGGGGATTCATAACAATCCATACATCAATTGTATCAAGCATATTTGTACATATGTTGCCATCACTATTTTCTAAACATTTACTGTCTATTTGAGCCCTTGGCATCAGCTCCTTTTTTCCCTCCCTCCCCCACTCCCACCTTGTGACCCCTTGATAAGTGATAAATTATTATTATATTCATATCACACACCAAGTGCTGTTTCCCTTCCCCCACGGTTTCTGTCCCATAGTTGTGTGTGTGTGGTTATGTGTAGATCATTGTAATCTATTCCTCCTTCCTTCCTTCCCTCCTCTTCCCCTTCCCCTCCTGGTTATCACTGCTCCCATTCCTGTTCCTGGATGCTGTGAGCTCTTATCTCTTTTCTGTACCTGCGTACATGCTCCAGTCTAGCCCACAGTGAAAGACAAGATTGGGGTCATGATAGGGGGTGCTGAGGAAGCCTCAAGGAACCAGAGGAAAATTGTGTATTTCATTGGTGTATAGTGCACCTACGTTGACTCCTCCCTTCCCTGTGGCCCTTCTGTGTGGGAATGCCCCATTGTCTACAGATGGGTTTGGGGTCTCTGCTCCTACACCCCCTCATTCTTAACAATATGTGGGTTTTTTGGTTTGTTTTGGGTCTTCTGGTGCCTATTATCTGATCCCGTCGACACCTCATGATTGTGTGCTTCATCCATGCGGGCTTCTTGCTTCTCTGCTTGATAGCCGCTTATTCAACTAGAAAGCTTTAAGACCCCAGACACTATATTTTGATAGCTAGGCACCATCAGCTTTCTTTACCACATGTGTTCATGCACCCATTTTGTATTCAGCTATTGTGCTAAGACGGTGAGCATCACAGAAAGCCGGGTGGTTTGAACAAAGTGTCCTTGCATTGAGGCAGGGCTTAAGCAGAGGCCCAAAGTCCATGCACTAGCTCAGTGTATTGCTAGTGCATGAATGGTGTTGAAGAAACTAACCCAACATTCCTTATTATCAGAGATTGAAACCACAGAAACCACCCACTGCTGTGAAGTCGATTCTGGCACTTGGCAGCCCTGGACAGAGTTTCGGAGACGGTAAATCTTCAGGGAGGCAGACAGCCTTGACTCTTTTTTTTTTTCTTTCCAGCCTTGACTCTTTTCTCCCCTGCAAGTTGGGCTGCTTACCAAAAGGTCAGCAGTATGAAACCACCAGCCGATGTCTGAGGGGCCCGCCCCTATCCCAACTATGTGGACAGCTGCCCCTCCCCAAGAAGAACTTACTTCAGAGGACAGCACTGAAGCTGCAGCTCAGGGAGAGGGACATGTCTGATCAGAGCACACAGGAGCAAATGAAGGGGGAGGAAGAGAGAGTGGAGCACATCCTGGCCCACCAAGCCTTGATGATGATGTTCCCGCTCAGAGCAGCCAGAGAAGACTATATAGTCAGCCCCACTATGAGACATGACATCCCTCACTGACCCATAGCTCTACAGGGGACAACACTGGAGAAAGTGTGGGAATTGCACCTGATCTGATCCCACCACACTGAGGCAAAACACGAAGGGCGTGGAACACAACATCAAGGGGAACAGAGCAATAAAGTCCCCAGGGAACACCAAAAACAGACTTTGGAGCCAGGGCTTGGCACCCCATCAGACTTGACCGAAAAACACTCCTAAAGGCCAACAAACAGTCCTTGAACTAACTACAAGCTTTTCTTTTTTGTTGTTGCTATGTTGTATTTGTTGGTTTTGTTTTGTTTTTTGTCATTGACTTGTTTTGTTTTATTTTCTTTGTTGCTTGGTTTTGCTCTGTCTTGTTTTTGTGCATGTTATTATCTCCACAGGTCTGTCTAAATAAGATAGGCTGGACGAACAATCTGGAGGAGAAAACAATGGGACCGACAGCTCCTGGAGGACATGGGAAACAGGGAGGTGGGGGGAAAGGAAGTGGTGTTAAACCCAGAGACAAGGGAACAAGTGATCCAAATTGGTGGTGAGGAGGGTGAAGGAGGCCTGATAGGGCGTGATCAAGGGTAATGTAACCAAGAGGAAT